GCTTGTCGACACGGCATTGATCTCCACACGAAGCATCTCGAGCCGTGGATCAACCTACCCTTGAATCCCCTTCGCCCCCCCTCCCCTCCCCTTATACCACTTTGCTATAGGATGGCCCCTGTTTTGTATCCCCACATGGCATCGACGGTCCGCTTCCATGTCTGAAAACATCACTTTGGCTCGACGGACACTTCATATCCATATATATAAGTCTGCATTCCCATGCCCTTCTCCAGTGCCATACACCTGGCTCTCATCCATACGAACCGACATTGTCTCTATCAACTTCATTTATTTTGCCTCGGCCTAACTCATTATACCTACCACAACTTCACAAGGTCGACATCTTTCTGGTAGCCAAGCCTCTTCGTCCAAAGACATCATGGCGCCGTCCATTCCCATCCCTACTCAGGGTGGCATGTTCCATACCTGTGAGTCTTCTGCCGCTGCTGCTGCTGCCAGACTACTCCTCGTACCATGGGCTCACATCTTCCAGTTCAGGGTGTTACTCCCAGGAAGCCCACAGCCGACTCTCAGGACAATGGCAAGACTCCTGGTGCGTCTGCTCAGAAGAGGATTACCACACCACACGCCTGTGCCGAGTGCAAAAGGCGAAAAATGTAAGTCTACCGGCCAGTGATGCAGTCACCCTCCTTCTGACAGGGGACACCTCTGCAGCCGTTGTGATGGCCAACAGCCCTGTGGCCAGTGCCTGTCCAGCCGCGCACCCAAGAGATGCTTCTATGACAAGCACCGCCAGCGAGTCATTCCTTCACGGAAGACGCTCGAGGCACTTTCGCAGTCCCTCGAAGAGTGCCGCTCGATCTTGAAGCGCCTCTATCCCAACCAAGAGACCCAGGCCCTCCTTCCCCTTTCTCGCCAGGAGCTTCTAAGCCTCCTCGAGCGTCCAGTGCTGGACACCTCAATCGTGACAGCATTGCCTTCACCGCCACTCAACACTTCACCTTTGTCACAGGAGCTGGAATCCCCGATCTGTAGCTCCTCAGAACAGGGGCTTTCGAGCCTCGAACAGATGCCCGGTCAAGACACAGAGTGGGATGAAGAGCGCCGCGGGCGTGACCCCATCCCCATCGAAGCTGACGATGTCAATGCACTCGGGCTCTCCGTCGACCGCCAATCTTCATATCTGGGCGCCTCGTCTATCAAGGCTGCCTTGATGTGCATGCTCAAGGTTCAACCTTCCCTGCGCACACAGCTTACCACGCCGCTGAACACGGCCGAGGTTGCCCACAACTTTCCAATCCGCCCCCAGCAGCTGGGTCCCAAGGAAAACCAGCGTATCTCGTGGTCCTGGAAGGGCCAGACCCTCCTGGACGCCTACTTCAAACGCATCAATGTCTTTATTCCCATGCTTGACGAGGCTGCCTTCCGCGCCGAGTACCTGGAGGGCCAGCGCTGCGACAGTCCGTGGCTCGCCCTCCTCAACATGGTTTTTGCCATGGGCAGCATCACTGGCATGAAGTCAGATGATTACAATCACGTCAACTACTACAACCGCGCCATGGAACATCTGCCTCTCGATGCCTTCGGCAGCAGCCATATCGAAACCGTCCAAGCTCTGGCTCTCATCGGCGGTTACTATTTGCACTACATTAACCGTCCAAACATGGCAAACGCCGTTCTTGGCGCCGCCATCCGCATGGCCAGCGCACTGGGACTCCACCGTGAGAGTCTGGCCCAGAGCGCCAGCGACATGGTCGCTGCTGAGACCAGGAGACGAACTTGGTGGAGCTTGTTCTGTCTCGACACTTGGGCCACCACGACCATGGGCCGCCCGTCTTTCGGCCGATGGGGCCCCGCCATCAACATCAGCCCGCCAGAGTTTGGCATTAATCAGGTGAGTTTCTTTCAGCCACGGAATAATTGTCTTGGCGGTGTCCGGTCGCACCCGCCCATCCCGCTTCCATCTCCCATCCACACTTCCCCACACCACCCTCATCTCCCCTCACCCCTCGCCTTGACAAACACCACCCGTCAAGTAGTTCATCGGCTAACCACCAACAAGGCCCGTGACTCAGCCCAACATGCGGGTGTTCTGCCCCTGATTGAGAACATCAAATTCTGCAAGATTGCAACGCAAATTCAAGACCTCCTCGCCATTTCGCCGCTTCTGCGTACGGAGGATCGGTGCAACATTGATGGTCAGCTTGTGAACTGGTATGCCAACCTGCCGTGGCTGTTGCGCACCACAGACCCGTGTGCAGAGCCCCTCTATATTGCTCGATGCATCATGAAGTGGCGCTACCAGAACCTCCGCATGCTGCTGCACCGTCCGGTTCTTCTTAGCCTCGCCAGCAACACCAGCAGCGGCGTCATGCTTGCCCACGTTGCGGAACAGGACATCGCTGCCATTGAGACCTGTCGTGAGCTCGCCAAGCAAACCATCGAGGATATTGCTCGCGAGTGGACTCGCAACCAAATGTCGGGCTGGAATGCAGTCTGGTTCCTTTACCAAGCTGCCATGATACCCCTAATCAGCGTCTTCTGGCAGTGGAACAGCCCTCGCGTATCCGAGTGGCACAAGCAGATCGAGACAATCCTAGACCTTCTTGAGGCCATGGAAGATTGGTCCCTTTCTGCTCGCCGCAGCCGCGAGGTGGTCTGGCGTATGTACGAGGCTTCACGCCAGCCCAGCATGCGCTCCGAGAGCCAGAGCCAGAGCCCCGTTCTTCACGCCATGGGCAGCAACGAACACGGCAGCATTCTCATGGCCGCCGAGGCGGAGCTTCGCATGTCCCCTATCGGCTTGGAGCCAGAGGGCATGGGTATGATGGGCATGCTCGATCAGCAAGGTCTTTGGGACCTCGACGGAATGTTCTGGGGCGGCGCCTCAGGAGACTCCTCGACTGACGCCCAAAGCCACCCGCACCACCAACAGCAACAACCTGGCAGCGTCGACTTTGGCAGCTTCAGCGTCAACGAGCAGATGATGCACATGGACTACAACATGATTGGCACTCCCGCTTCTGCAGTGACCATGGACGGTGGCTTCTTTGTCCACTAGGGCAGCTACGAGAGGTCCCACACATACACCCACCCCAACTCTCACTCTTCCACTACATACCATTTCCTTGTGCCACCGCATTGCCTTGCCTTTCCTCGCCAGAGTGTGGTGGTACAGCACAATACCCCTGTTCATACAAATTTGTTTCTTGTCACATACCTTTTGATGATTCATGTGGATCTCGCCTCATTTTTTTTTCTCTCTTTCTCTTTTTTTTTTTCAAAGCACGGTACGACACGACATGTCATGCATCTATCAGGCCAGGCACCTTCAAAAGGTGGAGATGGGGGCGAAAAAAATCGCGGGCGTCTAACAGGTCGACGGCCCGATGGTTGCGCCCGAGATGAGAGTGGCAGGAACCACGCAACCCTTGTTGTATGTATGAACGAAGAAAAATGACGACGCAGCATATGAGATGGAACGAAATACCCCAGAACCCGAGATGATGGTCCGGCTTCTGCTGAAGGGGGAGCAAAGACGCTCCATAGGCCTCGTGGCCCAGATGAGTAGATAGTGACGAAAGAGATCACAAATTTCCATGCAACACCTGCGTTTGCCCTTGCCCGTGATGAGATCAGACCTCTGTCTGTGGCGAGAGGCCAGCCTACAAGAAGCTGTACCGTTCAAGCGCAAAAAAGAGGGACACCCAACAGGCGCCGTGCGCCGTCCTTAGCAGGGACGTCATCTTGGTGTTCGGCACACTAGCGCTTGGCGACGCCGTTCTCGGTCCTGCAATTCCGACAGAGGGAACAAGGGGCTTCTTGCGCGCTATTTTCGCCCGTGGCTGACCGTGGCGTGCACACCTCGTCTTGAATTCTGCCCTGCCATGTCATATCAAAAACACGCCTGTGTATGACGAGTCGGGGGCGGAACAATGGAGAAAAACTTTGTCGCGAGTCGCTGTTTGCGCTCGCGCGGGAGCGACAATGCAGGAGCGGCAAGGTGGTGTGGGCGATGAGTGAGCAAGTAGCCATTATTGACAATAGAAAGCAACTTCGGGCGCCCGACGGCAAGCGATCTCTCCAGCCTCGATGGAACTGTGGGATACGGGAAAAAGTCACAAGAATGTGTGTCGGCCATGGCTAGCTGGCGGTCTGGAAGGCTCGGATGCAATGACATCTGACACCGAGGCGAGTCTGGGTGCATTCTCGGGCGCGCCATTTTACTTCCTCGAGCGACAACCACGGATGGACCAGAGAGAACCCTCCAATTTCCGCACTTGTAGTGCGAGTAACGAGAAGGCCTGTTGAGCCGGCCGGCGCTAAGGCCGGAGCAAGTTTGTGATTATTTGTTACACAACAGCGAGAGAGCAAGGATGAAGGAGGGCGTCGTCGCAGTGAGTTGCAGCGAATTGTGTGGTTGTGTGGCTCCTCCCCAGGGTATTCATCCTTTTACCCAGGTTCACGTGGTCCTCTCCTTACCTTGTCTGAAAGGCCGACGCTGCTCTCTTTGTGTGGTAGGTGCCTGTACGGACAGGGTAGACGAGCATAGAGCAGCGGCCTGTGTGAGTAATGAGGCCACGATAGCTCGAGGCTTGGTAGCGGCCAGACGGGAGTTGGCATGAGCCAGGTGCAGTCGCGATTGGCTGGCAAAAGCTGGCACTTGGGTCGGCGCCATGTCGAAAAGGCAATTTGGGTTTTCGGCCCGTAGCGAGGGGTGGGGAGACAGTGTGTTCCCCGTAAAGTCTCGGGTACCTGATTTGAGTGGCAGAACTGCGTGGACCAGAAGATGATCTCGGAGGTGGAGCTTGTACCAGTACTGTCTACTGACCCCTGGCAGGGGTGTCGCCAGGCACAGCAGGGGGGACGGGTTGCTATCAGGGGACGGCCTGTTCCAGTGCGGGGAAGAATGTTCGATCGAGAGTGGTTGGAGATGGGGGTGTGAGGGGCCTTGACGAAGGGGGTCTAGATATCCAGTCCATCGATCAGCGAGGCGTTGTTGACCTCGTGGTTCGAAGGTGCATCGCCTGCCGGCGATGCTGTGCCACCACACGACGATTCCTTGCCGGTCGATGCCAGCTCTGCAATACATGCAGCCGGGGGCACGAGCCAGGGGCGTCTTAACCGCAAATTCGCAGAGCGAGGCTCAAAGGGGGAATCTGCGCGCGGCATCAGCCAGCAGGCCTACGTCTGCGCCGTAAGCCTCCACACCCCCATCATCCAGAGGCAAGATTTCCTGATGTCTTGCATAGAACTGCCTTTGTTCAACGCCAAGAATCTCAGCGCAAGACTCCCAGAGGCGCCACACAAGCCATGGCGATGCGCTCCGCTCAACCAAGCCTTGATGACAGTGTGGGGTACACACCATCTCGTGGTAAGGAGGGCGGGTGCGGGGTTTATGGCGCCTTGAGAACGTGATCGAACAGGACCAAGACTGGTTCAGACCATCCCGAGAGGTCAGCAGATAATGCGACACCCAGTTGGAGTGTTGTTTCTCCAATCTTTGCTGCCCCGAGTCATTAGCGGTGGTGAAACGACTTGACATCGCATGGGCTCTTCCCCGCAATTTTGTTAGACTCTCGGTTGACGTGGTACAGGCGAGACATTTAGCTTACTTGGTACATACTATTGCAGATCTCCATGGGCGCCGGGCCTTCGTTCCCGACTCCCTGATTGACTGCTCTGATCAGTCCAGTGACGCTGTATCCGGCCAGCCAGTTCTATGCTTGTTTGATAAGATTACACCGATTGATGCGAGCCAAAGGCCGATGCGGTGCAGCTGGGCTGCTACTGAACAAGGGCACCCTTGCCCTTCCTGGTTGGCAGATGAATGAGCCCGGCGTCGATCCGGGGTCGCAGGGTTTCGCAGTGAACACTGCTATGCTGTGCTGCTGCCCTAGGGTGCCAAGTTCCATGAGGTCACCTGAATTGATGCCCATCATCGGCGAGCTGGCTTTTGGCCTTGTTGTAGAGTCGCTGGGGTCCTCCCAACTCGCGACGGTGTGTGGCGGCTCACCGACACTGCCAAGTAAAAATCACGTAGCTCTCGATGCTCAAATAGACTGGTAAATTTCGTCGGCCTTTCGATCTCTACTTTGTCAGTGCGTTGTTACGACCGGCTGGTCAGTTCAAGTATGATGCTGACCCAATACAGCGGTAGCTGTCGAGCCATGACTCGCCGGCAGCATATGCTGCGCCTGAAGAGGTAGTAGAATGGACGCGAGCATCAGTATTCCCTGAAGCTGATGCATCGATAGCCGATCTTGCAGCGACCCGGCATGGGATTCTTGGCCAATTTCGTCCGTCTCTGGGTCTCGGTGTAGGTAGCATGAAGGTCAGGGGAGCACCGGTGACCATGCCACACGGATGACGCTGCTGTGCGCCACACACTGCGACACGTCCTGCAGGGCCAACCGTCAAAGTATATCAGGGCATGGTCGCCGTTGGTTCGGCTTCATACTTGTATCTCGGTTCCAATCGCCCGGAAGCGATTGAAATCTGTCACTTTGTACGCCAGCTCGTTGGTGCGCGATGCGTACACTAAGGTTGTGCGACACCGAACATGTGCGACTAAATCAACGACAAAACCCAATGGCGACGGCGACGCTGTTCGAGCCCGAAGATGAGTTGCAATAAGCTCTGTAAAGCAAAGTTTCATCGAGCATGCAACAGGATGAATATTTGCCATGTTGGTCCCAGAGCGACATATCCACATAAGGAGGCAGGCGGTACCGAAAGGTCGTGGTGCCTGCCATGCGCACGGGTTGGAGACTGCCCTGGCTCAAGAGGAATTGAGTAAGCCGGCAATCGTAACCCAAGACAGGATACCATTCATGACCTCGATTGAAGACCCATTCACGATCTACGTCTGGGCCGCACATGTCATTGATATGGCATCGGCACCAAGACGATAGTACGCTCCGCGCTAGGTACGAGGTACCCAACCTGAGCATATTCAGATCATTTCGTTTCAGCGACGGCGAGAACTCACTGAAGCCAGCGTCGAGAAGACACAGCCCAATCGACACGATGGAGCACTCTCTGAAATGCAACGTCCTCAAGTGCCGGCAGGAGATTACAGACCGAGCACTGGTGACAACATGCAGGTGAGTATTTGTACATGCTAAATTGTCGGTCTTTTCTTCAGTCCTAACAGAAACCACGCAGCCACATATTCTGTATAAATTGTGCCGGACGCTCCGGCCTCGCTGGCCAGTCTGAACGCCGCAGCAGCTGTCCTGCTTGTAACAGCAACCTTGGCAACCCAGACGACGCCGTCATTGCTATCCTCAGTCCTTCAGAGGATTACAAGACTAGCGTGTTGAGTGGTCTGAGTCCCAACATTATTATGGAGTGTGCTGGTAGAGCACTGAGCTTTTGGGCCTATCAAACGACCCAGGAGATGTGGGTGGACGCCAGAGTACGAGCTTTTGCACTTGCTGATGATCGCCAGTGTGTATCAGAAATATCTAGAGAAAACTTTGACCGACAAGTACAAAGCGCTCGATATGCATCTGGACAAGACGGTGAACGAGGCAAACGCTGAGATTGAGAGTATACAGGGGCAGCTGAAGGGTACGCCCCCATCCGTTGACCATGTCAGTTCTAAAATTGACCGGTTCAATGGCAGACTTGGCGCTACAGAACGACGCAATGCGCCGAAAGTATGACGAGCTCGGCCAGGCGTTCAAAGACAAGAGCCGTAGACTATTGCAAACCCAGGAGCTCTACGACAGGGTCAAGAGAAGGGCAGAGATGGGGCAAATGCAGGCAGCGGCTTGTGATGCAGTGGACTCTCACCTACAAATGAATGTCTTCTCGGACACTCGCGACAAAGGGAGCCCGCGACAGGGTCAGTATGAGCAGCAAGCAGACTTCAGCCAATTTCACAAAAGCCGAGGCTCTGACAGGTCAGAGATGCCACCACCTCAGAACCGCGGAGCAACTCAATTCGTGGTCAACGATGAACTTTGGGCAGGGCAAAACACGTTGTCCGGGAGTGAGTAGGACCACGGGTTTTACAGTTACAAGTTTCACGGCTGACCTCAAGTTTCGCAGTAGGCATGCAGAAGGCCCCGATGATCACACCTGTTCGGCAACGCACACGCAACACGGCGAATATCGGCCTCTCGGCCATCCCCGGACTTGTTGCAGGTTCGCCGGTACCCTTAAACGGGCCGACCCGCATGCAGGAGTTCACAATACGAGAACAATCAGCGGTTGCTGGAAATCGCGAATCCGGGGTGGGTGACCCGTCGATCCATTCTGCTCACCTGCTTCATCCTACGAGCAGCAGCGCAACACCTGTGCCACGTGGTAAGCACAATGGATCAGCCTCGCGTGCGGAGAAGATACCGACTGACTGCTAAGTGCCGCAACGGTCGGTTTTGGTTTCGTCCGCTTTCGTGAGGCCGTGAAAGAGAATAGCCCACTATCGAGGCCTTCCAGCAGTGTAGGTTTGACTGATGCGAATGCCAATATTTTGTCAAGGCTGGCTGATACCTCACGCAAGTCATGCGTTCGTATTTCAACGATTTGCTTCGGAGAAACACAGGTAGAAAGAAGCATCAGGGAAAACAGCCATGCTGTGCTAATGCAATGACCCAACCGCACGATGATTATTGCTATACAGATTGTATGCTAGACAATGTTCTTGTTCGTGAGCACAGACAAAGGGTTGCACATTAGGTTGATGTACCCATGCCGAGCACTTGACTCGCTCAGACGAGCTTCCGCAATCGCGAAGGTGCATTTAAACCGATGTTTCTCTTTTGAACTTCTCTGTTTCCAGACTTTTGAGGATGGACGTCCTGAGATTGAAGGGAAATGCGCCACCAAACCTGCGAGAAACGGATGGCACGTCTCTCGAAGTACAGCCCGAAGGCTGTTGGCACGAGAGTCTGCCTGAAGCTTGGGAAGACCAAGCAATTATGTCGCAGACTGTTAGGAAGGAGGCCTACTGGCGTAAGTGCCGTGCAACAGTCTAGCTGGGTTGAGGCCTTCGTTCCTCACCCGTACTCTCCCTTCATGTCACCAGCCTCGCCAGGATCTGCGACAACAGAAGAACCGATTTGTCAACAAGGTACTGATGCACAGGAACAATCGTCGTTGGCCCCATACATGGTGCCGCGAGATACCACGGGCGAGACAACTCAGCTTCCACCACGTCTCTCAGCTGACGCGCCACAGAGTCCGCGTCTCGACCCCGTTGCTGAGATGGGTTCTCAGTCTGTGACCGCGATCGCTGCTGGCAGTGATTGTCTAGCAAGTTCAATGATACAACCGCGCATTAACAGAGTAAATCTTGGTGAGGCGTGGGAGTCGCTACACTCCAACCCAGTACACCTGGATGGTTTAGATATGCCAGCAACCTCGACAGCGCCAGGTGCTGGGTTCGATGAAGCGGACCCTCCTAGCAATCTCCAGGAGTGCCGATTCCCAAGCAAAACAGAGGACCAGTCTCTCAACTATCTCGCTGGTAAAGTGGAAAGCCTCAACCAGCAGCTTGCGGAGGGGATGCGCCTCCGTGAACGCGAACGCGAGCAAGAGAGATGTCGTCGAGGAGATGAGCAAATTCAGAGGGAACGACTACACAAAGAGCAACTTGATCGCGAGAGGAAGCTCAATGCACAGCGCCTCATCGAGATGGCACAACTGCACGATGAAGCGCTTCATCAGGCAAGTCGAGATCACGCAGACATTCTGGCAGAAGCTGTCAGCCGGGTGACGCGCAAGCTCGAGATGGAGCGACAAGCTCTTCACGCAGAAGATCTCCTGAGTGTCGAGGCGTATCGTAAGCTGTGGACTGCGGAGATTGGCAGGCGGACTAAGCAGGAGAAACAGCTGGCGATGGTAAGAAAAGAGCTGATGGCTGCAAACGGCAGATTGAGAGAGAATGCCGGGCTCTGTTGAGCGTGCTGATCTACTACAGGTCTGTTGATCCGTCGAACAAGGGGCCGTCAGGAGTTAGCACAGCGGTAAATGACGTATTGCTGAGGTGCGAAAGCTTCGGGGCATCAATGAGACGATGAAATGCTGCGTCGGCGAATGACTTTGCTCTTTTCACCCGACATGCTGTGCAACCACAGCGGGGGATACCACGAAAACGCAGAAAGCCGCAGAACAACGATGGCACATGAACGTGATGAGGGATCACAAGGTCAAGGGAGCTCTAGGTAAGGCATCTGAGGTGAGGTACCTTAGGTAGGTTGGTAAAAAGGTAAACTGTCAATGTGCGACGATATGGGGCGATTAATTACAGCCGCACAGTACTATCACCGAAGACCGATCCCGCCCAAGACGGCTACTTGACTTTCACAGGTGGCGTAAATGCCGTGCTAGCACAGTGCGTACTTACCAACCTTCCATTCCTCAGCTCGAGACATTTGTGCATCAAACATGATTCCACACATGTGCTGGGCGAAGCCGATCCATCACATCACATCCTGAGAGCGTCGAACTCTTGCGAATCCAAGGTAAACAAGTGCAAGTATAGCAGCCAAGCAGTCTCCTTGACCCCTAGCTCGCTGGACGCATCAGCTACCTCAGTCATGGCCACTTCCCCTCTCAAGGTTGCTATCTTGATTGTATCAACGACGGCATCCAAGAACCCAGCCTCAGACAAATCCGAGTTGGTCCTGAGAGATGTCATAGAAGCCGAAGGTGGAAGCCAGTGGGAGGTCGTCGAGACCAAGATCGTGTCAGACCATGTCCCTCAAATTCAGCGTCAGATCATGCTCTGGGCCGATCTCGGTGCCGATGCTGTCAACCTCATCGTAACCACTGGCGGGACAGGTTTCGCTGTGACGGACCATACACCTGAGGTACGTCTCTGGATTTACGGTTATCCATGTCGTCTATCGACTGACTCCGTGCAGGCCGTCGGTGCTTTGCTGCACAGACAGGCTCCCGGCATAGTCCACGGCATGCTGGCCACATCGCTGGCGGTGACACCTTGTAAGCATATCTACAGATCGAAATTTGCAAATGAAAGCCAGCTGAAATCTTCCAGTTGCCATGATGTCTCGGCCAGTCGCTGGTGTGAGGCACAGCACCGTTATCGTAACTTTGCCAGGCTCGCCAAAGGGCGCCAAAGAGAATCTGCAGGCCATCCTGAGGACGCTCCCACATGCCTGTCTTCAGGCTGCAGGCGTAGACTCCAGAGCCCTGCACTCAGGTGGCGTCAAAAAGCTGGAAGCCGATGCTGGTATCAGTGCGGGTCAATCAGCCAGCTCACAGTCTCACGGAAACAATCATTCTCATAACCACGGTCATGGCCATAGCCACAACCACGGTCACGGCGGCTTGGTCAGACATACCGGAAACCAGCCGGTAGTTTCGAACGACCCGAGCCTGGGACCTACCCGACGGTATCGAGAGTCGCCCTACCCTATGTTGGCGGTAGAAGACGCCCTGGTTATCATTGAGCAGCTCACGCCGGAAGCCGACATCGTTTCTCGCAAGGTGGATGCTGGCCTCATCAACGCAGTGTTGGCAGAAGACGTAACGGCCAACGAAAACGTGCCCGCTTTCCGTGCCAGCATTGTTGATGGCTATGCTGTTATCGTTCCCAAAGACGGTAACATGAAGGGCGTGTACCCGGTGACTGCGGTGTCGCATGCTGCCCCGAGCGAGATCGGCACCCTCAGGGAGGGCGAAATTGCGCGCATCACTACGGGGGCTCCTCTGCCACCCGGGGCCACGTCTGTCATCATGGTCGAGGACACTCTGCTCAGAACTAAGACAGATGACGGCAAAGAGGAAAAGGAGGTGGAGATTCTTGCAGACGGAGTGAAGCCTGGCGAGAACATTCGTGAAGTCGGCAGCGACATCAAGAGGTCAGACACTATTCTCCGCAAGGGCGAACAGATTTCTGGCATTGGCGGCGAGATTGGCCTTTTGGCTGCCGTTGGCGTGGCCTCGATCAAAACCTACAGAAGGCCCGTTGTGGGTGTTTTGTCCACTGGCGACGAGATTGTCGAACATGACCGAGAAGGCGAGCTTCGTCTCGGCGAAGTCCGCGACACGAATCGCGTCACCCTTTTGGCGGCTGCCAAAGAGCGAGGCTTTGAAGCCATCGACCTCGGGATCGCACGCGATCGGCCTGGTGCGCTGGAAGAGACGCTGCGCGAGGCCCTGCGTAAAGTCGACTTGCTAGTCACAACAGGTGGTGTGTCTATGGGAGAGCTGGATCTGCTGAAGCCGACTATTGAGCGATCTCTCGGCGGCACCATCCATTTCGGCCGAGTGGATATGAAGCCCGGTAAACCGACCACATTTGCGACTGTTCCGGTCAAGACCAACGCCGGCGAAAGAATCTCAAAGCCGGTTTTCGCCTTGCCGGGAAACCCTGCAAGCGCGCTTGTGACCTTCAATCTGTTCGTGCTGCCTGCACTGCACAAGCTGGCTGGTGTGGAACCTAGGAGCCTGTCCAAGGTGCCCGTGGTGCTGGCCCATGATTTCGCCTTGGACAAGGGGCGACCCGAGTACCATCGTGCTGTCGTCACTGTTGGGAAGGACGGAACTCTGCACGCCAACAGCACAGGAGGACAGCGAAGCTCGCGCGTGGGCAGCCTTCGGTCTGCCAACGCCCTACTGTGTCTGCCGAAGGGCAACGGGCCTCTCAAGAAGGGGGCTCAGGTGCACGCGCTGTTGATGGGTGGTGTACAAGCCGATATCTGAAAGCCTCCCGTGCGGGTTTCAAGGAGACATTGAACGCCAGCCGTAATGTTGTTCGTTCCTTGCATGGGCCCCCTTAGGTCCTCATTACAGACCCAGAGGCACGAATGAGGACAGTTCAGTTAACGTCACGACTGGTGGGTGGGAAACTTTGCAGTGTATCGGCCAAATTCTCGCCACTCGCCAGCAGGTATGAAGGATCCTGATGTTCATAAATGACACCCAGGTCCCACACTGAGATGTATGGGAATGTTATTACACCACTGCCCGTAAATTCCCCATGGACCTTGTGTTCCGACAGTCATTTGACAGTTCCTGATGCGTTGTATTCACAACGAGCATTCGAAGTGCGGTGCAAAGAGCCCGTCATGAGTATACAGGTCCATTAACAAAAGTGATGTTACAGTATAAGACAAGTCCTCTCCCAGACCTTTATCCGTGACGCCTGGCCAAGTCCTCGCTCGTCCTTTGTCGTGATGCAAGCTGCTGCTAGCTGCTCCCGATACCGCCTGAGCCCATCGAGCGGAACCCTTGATATCATTGCGTGGCCCCTCTGGCCTCTTTTCGTGGGTGTTGATTCTGTGACTTGTGGACAGCCTCGAAGCGGGTCCGTCTCTCGCCCATCTCTCGTCTATTTGCCTCCAAACTCGGTCGCCTTGCTGGAAACAAGAAGGCCGACAATGAGGCCGAAGAGACCCAGCACGGAGCTGAAAATCTCGACAACGAGGATCTTGACGAAACTGCGCGTTGGGTCCTGTTAGCATCTGATCCGCCGAAAAAGGCGCGGAAGAACCACTTACAGGCTGGGGTCCGCGGCATCTGCCAAGGCAGCACTGCTGCCGTTGATACCAACGGCGACACCACAGATGAGGTTGCACATGCCTACAGTCAGGCCAGCCCAGAAAAGCGCGAAGCCCGTGTAATAGCTGTTTCCGTCGTGCAGTTCGGCGCCAGAGATGTAGCTCAGCTTCGAAGAGAACACAATAGACATGATGACACCGTAGATGGCGACGACTTCGCAGAAGATGATCGAGATGAGGTTCTTTGTGCGGATGCGGGGTGCCTTGACGCCACCGCCGAGGATGGAGGAACCGGTGATGAAGATGCCCCTATCAAGTCGCACTGGTTAGTACGGGTGCTGAGATCGGATCGTCGATGGTGTAGAATCTGCGACGGGTATGCATCGAGGGAGTGAGCGCGTACCATGCGGCGCCAACCACGGAGAGGGCAATGCAAAGGGAAACGCCAAGAGAGGCCCAAGAGTAGGGCGATGTCGATTCTAGGAAGGCGCCGACGTTGAACGCCTCTCCGGAGCCCGTGAAGAGCATGTCTGGGTTATAGAGATTAGCCTAGCGACCTTTCCTGGGCTGCGCAACGCCGGAGGGGACGTACAGGCTCCCACGACGAGCAGGGAGCTCCCGATGCCTCCCAATCCATAGGTGAGACTCATTCTGATCGGATTTCGGCGTGTCGTCGTCGATACGGTGATGTTGAGGAGGGCGTCTTCGTCGGTATCGTGTCAATCAGTCAGGCCTCTGATTGAAGCTGCGGCAAGCTCTCACGAGGTTGCCTTGGACAAGCACTCGACGTTATGTCATCCGAACTAGAGCCGGTTCAATCACGTGCAGCTGTGAGCTTGGCTGCCTGAGACTGTCTGCTGAGTCATCAGGTTTACAACCTCCCGGATATCCAAGCTACCGGGAACCTCCACACGTCAACACCACCTACGCCACCTTGGTAGACCCTTCGACGATCACAAATCAATCGTCAAGATGGCTTCTAACCCTGAATCATTCTATGAACTGTACAGGCGCAGCAGGTACAGCTCCATGCTACACGTTGGTGTTGTCTTTATAACTTGACTAACCCGTTCGCCCCGCCTGACAGCATTGGCCTCGCGCTGATGGACATGCTCGACGATCTGATCAGCGCTGAGCGCATCTACCCGCAGTTGGCCATGAAAATCCTGGCCAACTTTGATCAGGCCATCACAGAGGCTCTTCAGAAGAACGTGAAGGCTCGTCTGACGTTCAAGGTGAGCAGGCGGCGGATGATGCACATTGGGCAGTACCATGGAGCTAACCACGAGGGGCGCTGCTTTGCGCTCGCTGGCTGTGCAGGGGAGCTTGTCGACGTACCGCTTCTGTGACGAAGTCTGGACCTTTCTCATCAAAAATGTCCAATTCAAGCTCGATAATGGCGGGCAACTGGTCTCTGCGGACAAGGTCAAGATTGTGAGCTGCAACGCGAAGAAGCCTGGCGAGGGCCCTTGAGCTGCTTCGAAGGAGACATAGTCTCGATGGGTCCACAGCGAACACGACATACGACAATACGTAACGATGGTCGGACGAGGAGAATACTGCATCAGACATGGGTACGGGTCCGGGGTTGGACAACGGCGTTCCGGTACTGCTTTCACCCGGCTGCGGCCGTTTTACAGGTTTGCATTTCCTACGGAATTGGGGGCACAAAGTTAAACAAGAATGACGAATGGACAAGGACATTGAGTCAATGATGACGGGCTTCGAAACACAAGCAGCTGGCGCTGAGGCCATGATTGTGATCATCTTTGGATTGTTGGTGTAAATGGTGCGTTGCGTGACTGTGCAAGTGGTTTGACTGCATACTTGTTTTTCCGACGACTCTTTGTTGGATACTAGTGAACACTTGACCGAGGATTTGTGTCAAGCTAACGTAGGCACAACAGGGGAAATCGCCCCAGGAAGGAGCAAAAATATCAGATGTAGTACTGTAGAGGTGAACATACAGAAGTGCTTTCTCGGGCAATTGGTATATCTACAAGCCGGACCAGGCTGATCTACTTTCTACGTTTCCTAGAGGCCCCGGAGTCGTCAACCGACTGCCTCTTTCTTCCCTCTTTCCGCCAGAACTCCTTGCTCTCCTTCTTCTCCCTTTCCTCTTTCTTCGCCTCGCCATCCGCAATCTTTTTGCGGTATGCAACGCGCTGCTCCTCTTTCTTGGCTGCCCTCTTCGCCACCTTCTCATTGCGAATGGTCGTAAGCTGCTGCATCAAGTTCTTGGCGCGCTTCTCCTCCTTCGTGGACATGACTGCGCGCTTCTGCATGTACGTCTCCTTCTTCTGCTTCTTCGTCTGCACGATCTGTGATTTGAAAGGCAGTTCGGCAGCAAGGGCACGTGGCACCCGGAGAGGGTTGAAGTGGCGGGTCTGGCGCTCAATCTTGCGGTACTGGCTGTTCTTGAGCTGCGGCGTGGCGATGCTCTGATCGCGGCGAACCTCTCCTGTCAGACGCATGCCCTGCCAGCCGATCATGTTGGTAACTGGGTTGTAAAAGCGATGGGGCTTAATAGGGTACCAGGCGCGGAGGAAAATGATGTCGCTGTAGAGAATCTTGTCTTCAAAGGTTGCACGGAAGTTGCCCTCGGGTTTGGAGAGTGCGCGCTTGATCTGTCCTCGAATGCCGGAAACAGTCTTGATCGAAGCACCTTCAAACTTGGCAATCTCGAGAGATGAGTTGAACATTCCCTTGATGAAAGCCGTGTTCTTGTGGATCTTGTCGGGTGTACCAGTGAGCTTGAGCTTCTTGACAATCTCGGTGGACTCGTCAACGCTGAGCACTGTGCCTGTTGCTGCTATCCTGAAGCCCGGGTTTTCAGAGGAGAAGGAATTGAAGCATACAAAGCCAGTGTTGGGCGCGATCAAGGGAGCGTACACTGTCGCGAAGCAGTGCATATGTTCGGGTGTGTACTTGAGCATACGATTCCTCGTCCGCGAGTCCGTTGTGCTGTAGATCGGCATCGTCTGGAACCGACGCCATCCCAGAGAGAAGATCAATGGATCGTTCGTCTTCAGGATCTTCTTGTGCCACCGGTGCTTCTTCATCCTGACCTGGACGTAGCCGAATCGATCTTCTGTGGCAGAAAGACCGCCAAGGATCAAGGGTGTCTTTGCCGAGAACTTTTCAACAAACTCGGCTGGAACGCCCTCGATGACAAGCTTGGCGTATCTACCAGCCTTGTAGCCCTCCACTGCACTTCTTTGACGCTCGTCAAGTTCCTCGAATTCGGCCTTGTTGATATCCAGTTGCTTTTGGATCATAGCCTTCTGTGCATCATACCAGTCGTCTTCGCCAAACTCTTCAGTCTCGCCACCTTCACGTCTGGCCTTCGCTTTGTCGTTCATGAAGCCTTCCCGATCTTCCTCTTCGAATCGAAGTTTGAGCTCCTCTTTACGCCGTGCGTTTTTGGCTCGCTCATCTTCTAGGGACTCGGGCTCTTCAGCAGGGGCTTCGACGCGTTCACCTTCTTCGGCATTCTCGAGATCCTCGAAAACACCATCGCCTTCGTCATCCTCATCGTCGTCGACGCCGTCAAATTCTTCGTCTTCTTCGCCACTTTCACCGTCCTCCCTCGACAGCTTGGCCGAAGTGAATCGTTGCCTCAGTGCCTCCACATTCTTCTCCACGGACCACTTCGCGGCCAGGTCCTCGTAGTCGTACAGGGGTATCGAGCGGTCCTCGGCGTTGTCTTCTTTCTCCTGTGCCGTCTTCTTGAAAAAGTCCTCATCGTCGGAAGCCTCAATGTCCTCTTCCTCGCCATCATCGTCACCTCGCCACCTCTTCAGCACCTGTTCCGGTGTCATGGAGTCGTCGTACATGAATCTTGCGAGATCCGGCGTGTGGTATGAGCGCTTCTTGCCGTGGAGTTTCTTCGCACGAGAAGACATGTTCTCTTTCCACTTGAGCGCCGCAGCATCTTCGTCGGAATCCATATCCTCCATGTCCTCATCGTCGAAATCGCCCTCCTCATCCTCGTCGAATTCGTCTTCGGAGCCCTCGTCAGATCCGGACAGAGAGCCGAGATCAGAGTCGCTGTCCGCAAAGGCCAGATCGTCGTCGGTGGCTTTCTTGTCGGCATCCTGCTTGAACATTTTGCCGAGTTTTCCCTCGTCAAATTCGGTTTCAACTTCGGAATCGCCCTCGTCTTCGCCACTAACAAACCCCTCATCATCTGGGACCTCCTCATCGGAGCCCTCATCACGATCTGCAAACCGAGCCTTCCGCTGAGTCTTGCGGCCTGTGTCTTCTTCTTCCTCCTCCTCCTCCTCCTCCTCCTCTACAGTCTTGACCTGGTCGCCACCCTTGAAGAGCTGCACACCCTCCTCAGTTTGACCTAGGAGCTTCCTCTCGGCCTGCAATCCAACAATGAGCTCCTCGCCCTCACCGCGCTCGACGTCCGCGTCCTTGTCGAAAGTGAATCCCTTTTCTCTCGTAATCCAGATGGCATCGCCATCTATCCTGAGGCCACTTCGGTCTGACATGGGAGCGTGCACCTTCTTGTCCTTCTCATCAAGCCTTCGTCTCGTGGTTTTACCAGTGATTTTGGCGATAGCCTGCTCCATTGCGGGGGTTGGGCATGGATCCGGCAAGACCTCCATGTTGGCAATTGAAAAATCGCCCAAGCCGGGAATGTGGACGCGCTGGCCTTGGGCTGCAAAGTTGGTTCCTCGCAGATATCCAGACAGGACGACGGAGCGATCGCACTTAGGGTCCTCTTCAATTTTGGTGGGGTGGGTGATGTCTCTGTAGCTGTCGATAACGCTGAAGGGGTGCGTGTTCCTCCAGATCAAGGGTCGAGGGTTCTTCATGACAGATAGGTATCGGGACAGATTGTGGATTTCGCGATCGGGGTAGCGGCCGTTGAGAACACCGGAGAGGTAGAAGAGATGTGCGCCTTGGTACAGCTCGCTCCAAAGCCTGCGCTTCAGTCTCCTCTTGGCATCTCTTAGCGCCTGCGGCTTGCGGAAGAGATCCAAGTGTGTAAGAATACCGAAGACGTTGCCGGGCATGCCTGTGGCTGCAAGAACGTTGAGGAACTCCATCGTCTCCATCTCGAAACCAAAGTTGCCGTCGATCATGAGGAGCACCACATCTGCGACCTTGGCCATATCGACCATGGCCTCGAGTTCGTTCGGACATTCGACAAACGTCAAACGCTGTTTCTTCGAAGTGACAACAGTAACGGGACCCTGCGGGTCAGAGATCGATTCCTTCGCATATCGCCGGATCAGACTTTTCATCAGCGTCGTCTTGCCGACGCCGGGAGGGCCGACAATGGTAACGATTCGCGGAGGGGCTTCATCGGGAAGTCGGTCGACGAGGGGAACGTGGAAGCGCTTTTCTTTAATCTATTGCCCCCAAATCAGTTCTCTGTGAGTTCTCACGGGCGAGTCGTCGAAACGTACATCGGAGGATCGAGCAGCTTGCCGCGCAAGTTTACCGGGAGCGTTGAATGCGAAAGCCTTCGGGTTGCGATCTGGATTCATGTCAATAGAGTCAAACAAGACAGACATGTTAACGACGTACCACCGGTGTGCTGCTTCTTCTCCTTGGCCTTCCTGTGAGGCTTGTGTACTTGTTGCTCCATGGTGGCCGACTCTGCCAATTCTGCAAGATTGGGGCGGACAACAGCTGGACAGGTCTGGACAGGACGGGTCGACGTGCATCGAGACAGTAGTCCGACACTTTTTTCTGGAGGACCCGATAAAATTTGCGAGAGATCTTTATCTAATCTTATCAGCGTATCGATATTGCTGGAAGAAGTGAGCGACGACCCCACCTTGGTGCCCCTCACCCCCAAAGGTGTTGAAACAGTGCACCGACCCGCACCTCAACCCCGCGGCTCAGGTAGTGGTAAACAGTGTCTCGTCCATTAGCCCAACTTGATTTACATGCTTTCCACGTAGGTACATCAGATTGTGGTGATGGAGCTACTCTAGTAATGCAAGACTATGGTTCAATTGTGTGGCTGCTCGCTTTTGGCACATAGAGCAGAGAATCATCACACCTAAGGGGCTATGCAGGTGGAGATCACCGAGACCTGCCTGATCAGCCACGAGGCCAGACCATTCTCCCACTCATCTAGCTTCGTCTAGCTTTGTAGATTTACTCTGACGGGCATGTGCCCGGAAAGCCAAATCAGGTATGCACGAAATGCATATGTCAGGGAATGACGTAGACGAGCAGCCTGAGCATACATGCGGCACGCACCACATCTGACTCCATTCAGCACATCATCAGGTCAGGTGGGAGGTAGCCAGTATCAGGCACCGCCTAGCGGCATCTTACTTGTTATCTTACTGGGTCGACGGAACGCAAATACACGAAGAGCGTACGAAGAAGGATTGGCCGGGTATGCAGAGTGTACCCTCCCTCCTCTGTTACGCAGCGCATAAGATGCGACATCCGGGTTTTATAAGAAGCATCCAGCACCCTCGAGCACCCCAAGCAACTACCTTCCCGCAACAACGAATTTCATCATTTTTTCAGACAACCCAGCTCAGTCAGACCAACAACAGAAACAAAAATATGCCTTCCTACATTGTATGATTGTCCTTGAGCGGAATCCACTAGTTCAAAAGACTTACTATCCTTAAGGTTACGTGCAAGCAGGATGCGACCGACGACCAGGTCAAGTCGTAGGTTTACTACACCTGAATTATCCCCAGGAATTATAGATTTTATTTGCTAACAGTGACACGCAGCGTGAAGGAGCACGCCGCGAACCAGGGCGGCAAGATCACGCACGAGTACAACCTGATCAAGGGTTTCGCGTATGTTTGAACATTTCCGTGTCAAACAAAACAATGCTGACTTGTAATCATTTCAGTGTCATATTTGACGAAGACGCTGTTCAGACCCTTGAGGCACACGAGCACGTCGAACAGGTCGAGGTGGATGGCGAGATGAAGATTCAGTAGACGACACCATTCCAAACATGAGGTCCCAAGGAACAGCATCACAACCCAGCATATAGAATACACTACCCATCGGTACCTAATTCAAAGTGCAATCGCCTGCTTCTCGGCAGGGAATCGAGTTTTATCAGCTTCACGTTGGGTCTCGCACCCGATGCTCTCGGATGATGACATGTTGATTCCATTCCGTTGACTTTCTAAGCGGTTTGATGTGAGGGGTGACCATGACGAGTGTTGTGGTGGATGCGGGGCACTTGATCCCCCGCACGGTATTGCTCGGCTTGGGTCGGCAGAGTGCCCATCAAAGCTAGGACAGCGCTACTCACGCTGAACTACAGGGGGTCGTAGGCACCAATCAAGCCGCTGCAGCGCCCTGATGGACAGCATCCCAGGACACAGCAGTGAGTCAAGTTTCATGCTATGGCTCTGACCTCGGGCTCATACACCTTATTACCTGTCCACGCCTTCAACCAACTCCGCCGCAGACCGCGACGCATCACCCATTACCACCATGCCGACATGCGCGGCATCACATCTCCATTGAGGCATAGGTGCCGACCGACGACTTTCTTGCATCCTACACCGCGCGCCCGTCGGGATATTTCTGTCACGACCAACCGGCCATTCCCCTGGGAAGAGCACACCACCCCCTCTCGCGAGCATGGCGGCGCCGACTTCTTTACGCTGGCGGGCAAGCCACAGCATCCGTTGAGTCTCGCCGATCTAGTAAAGTAGGTGCTGGACTGCTTTTTCATCGTTTCCCAACGCCTCTCTGGCATTCTGCTGATTCTATGATTGTTTTCCAGGCATGGCCGTCCACCATTGAGCGAGGCTTCCCTCCTTGCTTCTGCAAACTTCACACTCTCCCTCCTTCCCATTCGCCTGGCACGACGAATTCAAGCGCTACGAAACTTGCCGTTTATCGTGGTGTCGAATCCCAACATCAGGCAAATCTATGACAAATACGAGACGTCGTTGTCGACATTGCTGCCGTGGTGGGAGAAAGGCAAGAACCCAGTCCGTACCCTGGATGACGAAGTCCGCTTCACCCAGGTCCTTGCCGACCTCGTCAGGACGCACACCGACACAATTCCAATCTTGGCACGTGGATTCTTGGAAGCCCGCCGTCACATCTCCCCAGCCGATGTGACAACTTTCCTCGACCAACATCTTCGAGCGCGCATCGGGACGCGACTTGTGGCTGAGCAGCACATTGCCCTGCACTACTCTTCACAGCCTCACTTCAACCCGGACGCCAGTCCGACGCCATGTCTTGACCACCCTTCGTTCGTAGGCGTCATCGACACCGCTCTCCGCCCTGCAGATATCATCCAGAGCCAGGCCGAATTCGTCGCTGAGATCTGTGAGCTTCGCTACGGCACGAGACCACAGCTGATTATCAATGGGGACCCTGATACCACATTTGCCTACGTGCCCATGCATCTCGAGTACATCATCACCGAGCTCTTGAAGAATGCGTTCCGTGCGTCCGTAGAGCGACCCGGAAACACAGAACCGGTCGTCGTCACCATCGCGCCCGAGCCGTCCTGCGGCGAGGCTGTTCAGATCAAAGCACCAAGCGAGGAGCGCGGCAACTTCAAGAGCGACTTCATCCAGCCACTGGACGACAATGCACCCGGTGTGACTATTCGAATCCGCGATCGTGGAGGAGGAATTGCCCCTGATGTCCTTCCGAATATCTGGTCGTACTCCTTCACAACTTTCAATGACGATTTTGACGACCTCCCTGGTAGCGGCGGAGGCTCTGATGCCTACGGCGATGGCCTGACGGCGATCGCCAATGCCAATGTGGGCGGCAGCTCACTTGCTGGACTTGGATATGGCCTGCCCTTGAGTCGAGCATACGCCGAGTACTTCGGAGGCGGCATTGCCGTGCAGAGCCTGCACGGTTGGGGAGCAGACGTTTATCTCAAGTTGAAGGGCATCGGTGTGCACTGAGGGATCTGGCGTTGGGAAAGCGTTGGTGCTGCGTACATCACAAAGCAATCTTTAAACGAGGGGCGTATCTTGGAGTATCTTACGGACGCCCTCATGCGCGTTCCAATGAATTTGTGTAATAGCGTTCTACTTCGTTAAACATGACTGTTGTGATGTCGTCAGTCTCTCCAGGCAGCTCTACTTAGCATCATAGCTCGTGATGCTGTTGGCTGAGGATAGATGTTGCTAGCAAGCAGCGCTAAAGCCATGGGTGGCTCTGAGAAACGCACCCAGATTGGCTTTTGAGATCCTGATTATGAGATATTTGGATATGCAGTTCTTGTGTCCTTATTGACGGACGGGCACTGCATCTCACGAACTCCTGCTTGAAGATTGAGATAAACGGATGGCCCTTGTATAAAAATACAAACATACAATGGACAATTTCATCCGTCAAATTGCCCTGGCGTGTCGCTAGCTTGATGAGATGCCGATTCCTCCACCGTGATGCTAGTCAGTTCCGATGCTGAATGGAAGTCGCTCATTGGACAGCCAGCTGGAGGAGCGTTGATGGAGCTTGGACCACATGCGCGCCCTGGGATTGAGGAAACCGTGGACCTTTTTGGCACTCGCAAGGTCGCTACGTAGGTGCCTTGGATTCGCTGGTTCAACTCGTACATCGCAACAGCACCCTCGTCTCAACGCCATCGCAAGAAACCCGCAGTCGATCAGAGAACCGAAAACACACTTATTCTGGATCTAGCATTCGAACCGCGATAGTACAGCTGACGCAACCATCTATCTCCTGCCAAAGCAACAAAATGGCCGCGGCAAGCTCCAGAGACCCTTATTCGAACCCTCCCTTAGACGATGATGACTTGATCGATCCTGATGATGGTGCGCATTCAATATGAAGCAGTTCACTCAGACGTCTTGCTGACCTCGTACACCCTGTAGCCGATCTCAACGACTTCGATGACCCCCTTGGAAATACATCATCTCGTCAGCCCCTGACGGGCAATATCGGCTCAGCACCCGGAGCCTCATCATCGCGCCCCTTGAACGAGAGCGCGTGGACGTCGCGGATACCTGGCGAAGATAGACAGACTCCTCAGAACACGATTGACGAGTCTGTTTGGGATACGCTTCGCCGCGACCTTCTCGCCATCTGGGCTAAAATGCGCGAGGTGCTCTACCCCAAGTACCTGCTGGGCGGCACTATGTTTGATGCCGACGGACTTCGGGGCGCATATGCCAATATCAGAGGTGCTGGATTCTCCGGAGCGCGCGACGAGATTACAGGTCTTGCAAGCCGCTTCATGGACTCTGAAGCTCTCCTGTCGCAGAACACTATGACACCGGGGCTCATGGACTGGGACCTTTGGGGTCCTTTGATCTTCTGCCTGCTTCTCAGTCTTCTGCTCAGCTTCAACGCCTCTCCCGATCAAAAGGACATCGTCTTCAGCGGCGTTTTCGCCATGATCTGGATTGGGGAGGCGGCTGTCACGCTGCAAATCAAGCTGCTGGGTGGCAACATGTAAGTCACGACCAAGAATGCTCCGCGGAGAATAGTGCTAATCTAGCCTCAGCTCATTCGCGCAGAGCGTTTGCATCATCGGCTACACGCTGTTTCCTCTCGTCCTTGCGGCAATGCTGTCTGCGATCGGAATACCCACGATTGTCCGCGTGCCTGTGTACCTGGTCCTCGTGGCATGGTCGCTGGCTGCCGGCGTTAGCATCCTGGGCGGCAGCGGTGTGGTCAAGAACAGGGTTGGTATCGCTGTGTACCCCTTGTTTGTATTCTATCTATTCCTTGGCTGCCTCTGCTTTATCAGCTAAGCGACCAGAGATCAGGAGCATGCGGAGGCGTAAAATGTGGGAATGGCCGCTGCAAACCAGCAAGCGTAACAAGGCTCAGGTTCAACTCGGCTGCAAAACTGTGTACCACTAGATATCCCTGGAAACTTCTTTTTCTGCGCTACATGAAAGCTTGAGCCAAATCAAACCTCACGTGAATTGGACCTGTCAACTATTTGTAGGCCTGTACTTGTGGTGCTAAGCCTATCGCCTGCCAACGACAGTTTAAGCATAAATTCTTTTCAGCACATAATGTAAACATCATGAAGCAACAATGTTACAGACCAACACCGCTCCTGCATCTCAGCAAATCGATTTAGAAGAGGTTCACTGACTTACCCCTCCGTTCTCCAACACCGGGGTTGCTGCCCGTCAGACAGAAGCTAGACCCGCTGATTGGTCGCGTTCCGATATCATCTGCGAAAGGTAGGCCCGCACTAGCCCAACCTTAGCCCCGGGATTCAGAAGGAAGGCGCGAGCGGGCCAGTGGTATCTGCAACCTCATCACTTCGCCCAACTTGCGACGCAACTCGCCTCTACTCTCGATAGTCCTCCAGCCTCGCGCCATATTCTCTTTGACGCGAATCTGGCAACTCCCCAAGGCCTTGCAACAAAGCATAGCCCCTTCTCCTTGGAACCTAGCTCAGCTACGCACCCACTTTCTCATTCGGACCCCCACCGACAGACACGACCTGCATTGCATACATTGCCGCCCACCGCCAGAACAAACTTCACCTCTGCTCTCAGCAGCCATGGCCGACGAACCCCAATCTGGTAGCCCCAGGTCGGACCCTGTCGATTCCAAGGAGGACGCCGAGACTGCCGCTGCTCGCAAGGAGCTCAGACATGCCGCCATATCGGAGAATACCGTCGCCGATTCTGTTGGCCAGACTGGTCGCACAACACCCGAGGACGACCAAGAAGACGACCTGAAAGACCGCATCTCATCGCCCAAGAAGAAGCGCGCACGAGACCAACTAGACGACGTCGAGGCTGAAGAGCTCGACACTCACAGTGTAGCTTCGACCGATTCGGCCAAAGATCGGGCGTTGAGGTCGGAGCCAGAAAAGAAGCGGCACAGAGACGAAGTCGCAGACGAAACCGTGAAGACCACCGCCGATGCTGAGGTACACCTTCTCCTTGAGCCCGACTCAGCCACTAAGCTAACAGTGAAACACAACAGAAGGGCTCGGATACGGTTGAAAACGAGGCGACGACAGAAAAGATTACTGCTGATGTATCGGATCAAACAGACCCAAAAACAAAGACGTTGCCCGTCTCCGAAAAAGACAAGACAACATCCTCTTCAGCGTTTGCTAGCTCTGGATTTGCCAAACTCGCTTCGTCAAGCGCTTCTCCCTTTGGAGCTCTAGGCGGTGGCAGCGCGAAGAAGAGCGTGTTTGGCGGTTCGGCTGCTGCCGCTTCCCCCTTCGCGTCCGCATCGCCTCAGAAGCCTGCCACGCCTGCAGCCACACCCACGCTTAGCTTTGGATCAACGGGCGAGCCAGCAGCTGCATCACCTTTCGCCAGCGCTGCACCTGGAGCGAATGGCTTCAAGTCCGTTTTTGGTGGCGGCGGTGGATTCGGGAGTGCACTCGCCGGCAACCCTCTCACCAGTTTTGCGAAGCCAGGCGCATCCTTCAAAAGCGAGAAGCCTGCGAAACCGTTCGGCGCGCCAGAAAGCGACGCCGAGGACGAGGACGGCGACGAGGATGGCGACGAAGAGCCTGAATCAGCTGCCGATGACAAGGACGCCAAGGAAGACTCTGACAAGGAAGACGCCAAGGTGTCAGAGGAGAAGAAGAAAAGCAGATTACAGCGAGGTGCGTCAACAGACACTCATTACACAAGATTCATTCTAACTGGATTTAGTCGCCGTTGATGATGGAGAAGCTGGCGAGATCACGGTCCTAGCCGTCCGATCCAAGATCTATCACCTAGTCAAGGAAGAGGGCTGGAAGGAGCGAGGCGCCGGAATGCTCAAGATCAATGTACCTGAGTCATGTGTTTCATTCGATGACGATGGCGTCCCCATTCCAGGATCTTTTGATGCCTCCGGCTTGGAGGATGATGAGGAGGCTGCTGCTGGCAGCAAGACCGTCCGTCTTGTCATGAGGCAAGACAGCACGCACCGCATACTGCTGAACACCACAGTATTTCCGGCACTGGACTTCCAAGAAAAGGCATCTCTCAAGGCCGTGGGCGTTTGCTTCACTGCTTTCGAGGGAGAAGACGCTAAACCTGTGACTGTGCAGGCCAAGGTAGGAGCCGCGGAGTCAGAATTCTCCTTTCAAATCAGTGCTAATTTTGCCCCACAGATGAGCATTGCAAACGCTAAAAACTTTATGAGCGAAATCGGCCTGATCCAGCGCGAATTGGCGAGTGCTTGATTGCATCCTGGGATGGGCTCTCGTCTCGGAAGAATGTGCAGCATAGGATGACATAATAGGCAGCCATACTTAGCCGCATTTTCTTGTCACGATTGTGCGGCTCGGGCATGAACTGGGGTGTTCACCGGCGATTGGTGTCATTGGCAAACAGGTCAGGACGGAGGGTAAAAGCATGCTACCATCGCCTGCTGGACAGACGGTTGCCTACGTTTACGATCGAGCGCGGGCGGAGGCTTCCTGTCGGTGTTACGGTTGAGTCATAGACCGGATCCAGAAGGCACACACATGCATGGCCGTTCTGGATCTTGAGGCTACACAATGATATGTCAATTTTCTCTGATGTGATCTGGGTTGAAACTCCTCAACGCATGATCTTCATCTTATAGCATATGATGTTGATGACCAGCGGTCATGTGGTCGAATGCTGATTTACAAGCTTCAAGCTATCACTTAGCTCTACCCAGAAGGCTGCATCCTGTTCAATCGTTGTGCTCTTGCATAATTCTCTTACTCCTGATTCTGATGTCTGCCAAATCAGCATTGCCGGCTGTGGGCGGGACCTCAACTAGCCTGCAAGTTGATGAGGGTTTACGACATCAATGTTCAGAATGACCGCGAGCTAGGCACCTTACGCCCACCTTTATGCTCGTAGTATAAGGCTGTTCGGTCCGTTGAAACAGGTCCGCCAGGTGACTTTGAAAGGTTCCTAGCACGAGTGCTTCATCCAAAACGTCGGATTTTCATGACCATGAGAGACGGGCAGCTCTGATGATTGGTATCAACTTGAAATTACACGAATTCGCTGTCGGCGTTGTCGATTGCTCCAGTGTCTCCTCACGGGAAAGTCAGGGGCGAAACACACGTGACTTGGCGTTCTTCCCGCGACATGTGATGGTCCGTGCTCGCGTGGCAAGACAGACAGCATCATACACTCATGTATCGTCGCGAAGGAAACTTGTGACCTCGTTCTCGCACTCTTCTCAGCCTTGATATTATTAGCACCCGAAGCATTTGCGTGTAATCTACATATATCCGGACGAAGACGTTGAGTGCCCCTCATGAGACTTCAGTTCTAGGTCTTCTTCGTACTTTGCTGATTCGTCAGCCTCTCAACACCCGTACGTATTGATTCGGGCCTTGAGGCCTCGCTCCTGCTGCATATTTCATGCTTGTTGGGTTTTTTCCATTGACTTGCATGTAGTTATCTGTCTCAATCTAAATAAGACTTCGTGAGAGAGGGCAGATATTCTCAAGCTTATCTCAGCCGATGAACGTCATGTGTCGCATACTGTACTTATATTCTTCCGATGCCATCAATCTCTAAAGAGCCAGTACATGTGCTGAAGATCATCGCATAAGATTGCCACCAAGTCTTTCAGCTATGGAATCCGCGGATCCGCTGGCCGCGGCTTCATCGCCTGCTGTGCCAGAATCCTCGAAAGGAGGCAAGCGAAAGAGAGGCCAGACTAGCAATGGACAAACGACTGGCGATGATGTCGGTATTTCGGCCGAATTGCAATATGCCAGCGGTGACACCGAGATGGCGGGAGAACCTCTCGCGAAACCCCGAAAGCGTGGTGGGTCGAGAAAGCCGAAAGCAACACTTAGTCGAGCAACAAGCGTAAGTGTAGTTGATTGTGAGACTGAGTGGCCCGAATCCTTCAGAGCTCTCGAGAAGACACACCGCGCTCTGAACCTCGTCTATACCTTTTGTTGCACGCGCAAGCACCTCGCTACAACCTTCGATACCATCAAATCCTCTGTCGAGTCGCATACCAAGAAACCCCTCACCATCGAGGACGTTGCAGCTATAGCTGCTCTGCGGCCAGAGGCGGTTAACTTCACCTATGTGGACGAAATCATGCTCCAGACAGAGATCATGGGAAGTGAAAGAGATGAAACGTTCAAGACCGGCCGAGCCAAAGACTTTCGCGCCCAAGGCCCCGCCCCTGATGCATCTGTTGGAGGTATATCGGGCTTGGATGGCCTAGGTTGCCACCGCGATGATGAGGTAGTCGGTGGAAAGGAGATACTGTATTTTGAGTTTGTGGATGGTGATCTCAAGCGCCAGGTCCAGGATAGGAAGACTGGAGAGCCTACGAAAGCCACGCGGAAACTGAAGGACGAAAAGCTGAAAATGCCCGTCTACAGCCAGAAGCAAATGACGACACTCATCGACAGACGCAACCAAAAGTTCTCTAACAGCATCAGCGTGTTCTTGAATCGATGCTTAAGAGAACAACGAGATCCTGTGGAAACTCTCAAGCTAGAGGCGCAAGCTTACATCCCTATCCCGACCGTAACGGATGACATTGCCACTGGCACCCAGCTGGATAGCCTCCCAGAAAGCATTCCCGCCGAACGAAAGAGCATACCGGAAATTGTCGACGAACTAAAGGAAAGCCCATGGTATACAGGACAGATCGTCCCTGATGGGCACCGGGTCTTTGAACCACAAGAAGCTGTATACGGTGATCTGGATTTCCTCCTTAGCCAAGATCTGGTAAATGCCTTATTCAACGCAAAAGGTATCACGCAATTCTTCGCGCACCAGGCAGAGGCTCTGAATGGGCTGTATAATGGGCAGCACGTCGTTGTTGCAACATCGACCAGCTCTGGAAAGTCGCTCATCTACCAGCTACCTCTCGTACACGCCCTTGAACAGGACATGAACACAAGGGCAATGTTCATCTTCCCGACTAAGGCACTTGCGCAAGACCAGAAGCGCAGCCTAAAGGAGCTCATCTCTTACATGCCCGGCATGGAAGAGGTGGTTGTGGAGACCTTTGACGGGGACACTCCAATGACCGAACGGAACATGATTCGAGACGAGGCTCGAATCATTTTCACCAACCCCGACATGTTACACATCACCATCCTGCCCCAGGAGGAACGCTGGCGAACGTTCTTGAAGAATCTAAAGTACGTGGTTGTCGATGAGTTGCACTATTACAACGGCCAGATGGGTTCGCACATGTCTTTTATCATGCGACGTTTGAGGCGAATATGCGCTGCAGTGGGCAACCGTCACATCAAATTCATCTCATGCTCTGCCACCGTGGCGAACCCCCAAGAACACTTCAAGACGATATTTGGCATCAAGAATGTGCGCCTGGTCGACTTTGATGGGTCCCCTTCTGGTCGTAAGGAGTTCTTGTGTTGGAACACGCCCTACCGAGATCCGGGAGATCCTGCCAGCGGTCGCGGAGATGCTTTGGCTGAGTGCGCCCGACTTTACTGTCAGCTTGTCCTCAGAGGTGTACGTATCATCGCCTTCTGCCGCGTACGAGAGCAGTGTGAAAAGCTCGTCAATGCCGTCAAGTCAGAGATGGACTCGCTCGGCCGTCAAGAGTGCATGGGTCGGGTCATGGGCTATCGAGGAGGCTATACCCCCCAGGATCGACGTCAAATTGAGAGCGAGATGTTTGAGGGCAAACTTCTGGGGGTTGTCGCGACCTCCGCTTTGGAGTTGGGCATCGACATTGGCAGTCTCGATTGTGTGCTTACCTGGGGGTTTCCATACACCATCGCTAACCTGCGCCAGCAGAGTGGCCGAGCAGGCCGGAGAAACAAGGACTCGCTCTCTATTCTTGTCGGTGACTGCTTTCCCACGGATCAGCATTACATGCAAAATCCTGATGAGCTTTTCACCAAACCCAATTGTGCACTCCAGGTTGATCTGGAAAACATGTTGGTTCGAGAAGGCCATATCCAGTGTGCAGCGTACGAGATGCCCATAAGACCAGTCGAGGATGCTCAATACTTCGGGAGTGATCTTGCTAAGGTCTGTCAAGAGAGGCTCATCTTGGGCGAACTGGGCTTCTACCATTGCCACGAACGTTTTCGCCCACAACCTGCTAAGTTTGTTGCCATCCGCGACACAGAAGACGAGCACTTTGCCATTATCGACGTAACGCACGGCAAGAATCTTGTTCTCGAGGAGCTCGAGGCTTCTCGTGCCTTCTTCACATTATATGATGGAGCCATTTTCCTGCATCAGGGAAGCAAATACCTTGTACGAGATTTCGATCCAGATCGGCACATGGCGCGTGTGGAAAAGGTCAATGTCGAGTGGATAACGAAGCAGCGCGACTTCACAGATACCGATCCTATCGAGACGGAAGCCATCAAGCGCATCAATGGATCTCTTTCAAAGGCATTTTATGGCACCATCAAGATCCAGCAGAACGTCTTTGGCTTCTTCAAGCTGGACAAGAAGAAGCGGGTCATCGATGCGGTTCACGTCAGCAACCCTCCTGTCATCCGGTATGGCAAGGGCATGTGGCTCGATATCCCGAAGAAGGCCTTGCTAATCTTGACGGAGAGGCGACTGCACATTGCAGCGTCGATTCATGCTGCTGAGCATGCCATTCTGAGTCTGATGCCCAACTTTGTCATCAGCATGCCCGGTGATGTCCGGACAGAGTGCAAGGTCGCGCTGAAGGAGTTTGCGCAGAAAGAGTCGCAGCGCAAACGGCCTGCGAGGCTGACCTTTTATGACGCCAAGGGTGGCGCCGGCGGGTCTGGTATCAGCACAAAAGCTTTCGAGCATGTCGATCACCTGTTGAAGCAGGCTCTGGCCCGAGTCGAGGCGTGTTGGTGCGAGCACGGCTGTGTTGAGTGCGTCGCTTCGGAGCTTTGCAAGCAAGCAAACGAGGTCATGAGCAAGGCAGGGAGCTCTGTCATTTTGAAGAGCTTGCTGAACATGGAGATCGATATTGAGGCGTTGCCCATGGGTCCGGAAGAGTACAGCCCTGTTGGTATCGAGACGGTGGTTTTGGCTCAGCCCGTTCCACCCAGGGATCGAGCCCTTCTTCAGGAGATGGGGGTCAAGGAGGAAGATTTTGAGGAGCGGGAGGCTGGCACTTGGAACGAAGTCCAATTTTGGGATGGCGGTTCGACATGATTATTGGCAACCTGTGCTTGTATCTCATCAGCCAGAGAAGATAAGGGCTTTGCCAGTTGGGCCACTACCGCAATGGCACCTTGCCGAAACTCCT